ATTTAACTTCTGTATTTCATACTTATTCGACAGTCTTTAGGATTTGTTTGCCAAATTGTTCGGGAGTGTAGCAGCATCATTAAGGGCTATGCTGTCTAAGCTTATGAGCTGTTGTTTAAGGTAGGTAGAATCGATGTTGTATATCCCAGGTTTTATCACTTTTAACCCCTTTTTCCTGTGTGATTGGGTACGGAGGAACAGTTTGGCTGGCGGATTCAGTAGTGGCAATCACGCAAGCGTAAATGACAACTTATATATCGCACCACATTTTCGTTCACTGATGGCATATTCATATTTATGATACATCTGTTGCAATACTTTTATTATTAGCTCATTAAACTACTAAATATTGATTTTTTTGTAAGAGGGTATTTAGTCTTAAATACTTGTTTAAGAATGCGTAATTTATGACAGAGTTAATCTGGATGGTGTTTGTTTGTGTGTGTAGTAGGTAGGTTTATGGACAAATTTCTTTTTTTCCCATGATTAAACTTTTCGTTTGTGCATTTTTAAGTCAGAAGCCATTTTATAAATAATGTTCTTTATTTCATTACTTATCTATCACTTTACCGACAAATAACTTTGACTTTTCAAAATCGTTGCCTTGACTACAGTCATGTTAATAAGGTTTTCAGGATTTAAAAGTGCGGAAAGGTAGGTTTACCATCAAACTTTACAGCAGTAGTTTGTATCGAGTTTTTCTTTTTGATAGTCTACTGCAGCATTGAACTGTAAATTTGCGCGCAATCAAATACCCTTCGCAATGTAAAAAAGGGTTTTTGCTAAGACCTTGAAACGCTCCTTGTGTATAAATCTGTTAGTACGACATCTTGTCGGCTTGATTTCCGTTTTGTGTTCCACTGAATGAACTATGACCTTTTCAGTTGTCTTTCAAAAGTGCTCTAACTGTCACTGTATCGAAGAAGTAATGACTGCAACGGCAAAGCTTCATCCTCTAGTACAGTGGGCGCAAAGAGAAAAAGTGTTATTTTTGACTATTGAAGTTGATAAAGTCGCAGAATTGAATGTTACGGACAAGCAGCTACATGTTAAGTAAGCAAGTTTTAATGAGTATAAGCTGATTATGAGTTTGCTTGTGATTGACGTTTAAAAAACTATAATAATTGGAACTCTTCACTTCATAAACATTGCTGTTGCACATTTATGGCATACCTATTCAATTGTTTTAATGCGTATTTTTTCAAATAAATGAGTTTTAGAGGAAACTACTCTCTTAGTTCCGCAGAGTACGAGGCAGTTATTGAGTTTTATGCTGATGTTAAGCCAGGATATAGAAGAATACCAGGCGATAGGCATCTCGAACTTGTATTAGATAAAGCAGCTGGAGGATGGTGGCCGCGTTTACTTAAAGAAGCATCAAAAGTGAGTTTTACAGAAGGTTTTGCACAGAACATGAACGGTGATACTGGCATCAGCGTACCCTTTGTACGGGTACACTTTTTTTGATTTTACAGGTCCCGTGGGTAAAAGTAGACTTTAACAAATGGAAAGATGAGGATGATGACGAAGATGATGACACGGGTGTTCCTGGTGATTTCGATTTCAATAATTACATGGCAAATATGCATGGGGATGCTGCTGAACCACCAAACCTGAACGATTTTGATGAAGAAGACGAGGATGATGAGGGTAAACTTGGCGCTTTTTGGTCATAAATAGCTAGGCTTTGTTCAAGAGTTATCGAGCAAGTGGAGAAAAGTATTTGTTTTTATTTGTTTAGATATGCCTGAACTTGAAGACGCAGATAATAAGGATGGGAAGCTTGAAGATAAAAAGGAGAAGAAGGAAGAAAAGAATGAGGAGAAATTGGAAGAGAAGGAGAAAAAGGAGGATAGCACTACAGTGGAGCAGAGTTCTTCATGAAATTCATCGTTGATATCTAACACTTCACAGACGTTGTATCTCCCATCTGCTGCTTTCGCTTAATAATTAATTTTTTAACAAAGTATAGGTAAACGTGAATAAATACCTCTTATGAGAGTGGAATATAAACATTAAGGTATTTACCAGAGGTATAAGCAGCAGATAGTTTTTTAATGGATTATTTTGCTTTTTATGACATTCATTGTTGTTCTTCATGTTGTTTTAACAATACCAGGACATTTTGTTCCTCTTACTTGGATAAAATTGTCTGCTATGTATCATGTGAATGATTCTTAGATGTACCACAACGACTAAGTATTTACAGAAATTTCTAAAGGATGTTGGTTTAAGGTTCACGGGTGGTAGAAATAATCAAGAGTATCTCAGTAGTAGGTAGTTTTTTACAGACGGTATCGTTAATTGTTAGGGTTGGATTGTTAAGAAGTTTGAGGAGCAGTCATTCGGAACTTTGCTCTTATTTGGTTTGATTTGTCAATTAAGTTGCACATTGGTTAAGGAAGGCCTATTCAGCTGATCTTTTTTTTTCTGGAGCAAGTAGCTGCTGGAGGGCTTTAGTTTTTAGTTTTTCTCCTGTTTTTTTTTTCTTTCATTGGGTTGGTTCTGACGGGCTAAGTATAAGTAGCGTTTATAGAAGTGGAAGTTTTATGTGACAGTGATTTGCAGCAGTGATATTTTCGATTGCTGGGAAGGATGCAAAGTTTCTTCTTATTCTTTAGTGCGGTAGTTACATTTAGAGCAGCACTAATGCAACATGTTGGACTTTTGACACGCTGACCATGGTTACCGGTTTTCTTCAATTGTTGAACTGCCGGAATTAGTAAGCTGCTATTTGAACTTTGGGCACCGGTTTTGTATCATTTACTGAGTAACTAACTGAAAGATTACATTGTTTGGGTGGGGTAGTTTAAGGCAAGTTGATTGCTGTGGTGTTTCTTGCTATTTTCTCGACCTTAACATTGTAGCCACGTGGTGAAAATTCTTCAGTTAGATTATATTTGATATTTATTTGGTCTATTGTTATAGTTACGATTGTTGTTGTTTGTTGTTAAAACCATTGTGGTTTTTGAGAGCTGGTGGTGGGAAAAAGGTTAGGTAGAGGTCCGGGTTGATACTGTTAGCTTTGTTGTTCTATTTACGTACCGTTGGGTAACTTTTTTTATTGTGGTGCTTGGTGTTTGGTTTTTTTGATGTTTTAAAAATTTTTTGTTACATGAACTGCAAACATCGTTTGAAAACGAATGAAAAAGTGGTAGAAGCGAGCAGAAAAAGAAAAGAAAAAAACTGGAATGGAAAGATTTTGTTGCAATGTTTTGTCTTTAAATGTCTGTATGCTTTAAGATAAATTGATCTTGTTATAATGTGTGTGTATGAATGCATCTGTAATGAAATGCTGCTGTTGTTGCTGTTGCTGCCGACGATGGTGATGATGATGTAGATGATGATGGTGCACGTTGTGCTCGCTTGCATTTTGGCAAAATAGTGATACTTTTTTTGTCAAAAGAATGGGGGGTTTTTCTGGCAGCTGCTTTGAAAAACTACCTAGGAAATATTTTTTTGCTCTTCTACTGGTTTGCAGAAGTTTATGTGTCTGTTAGCGAAGAAGAAAAGGTTGGTTGATTGACTGACTGTGCTGTAGTATCGCTGTTAATGTTGTGTGCCGAGTACCTGCCGAAAGTTGTGTTGGGGGCGAAAGTACTGGCTGTGGTGGCCTTGGGCTCTCTGGAAATTCGGTTTACTTTGGTTTGACAGGGCTCCGCTTTTGGCAAGCTGCCAATGCTGGCTATTATACTTGCTGCGTTGTTAGATAGAAAAGTAGTATGTTTCACAGATTACGTGTCTCTGTGCTCCTCTCCTTGTTTTATTCTTGCTTCTTTGCTGATGCTTTTTATGTTCTTCTTGGACTTCTTGCTACTGATGCTACAGATCGGGCCAAAGCAGCTGATGTTGTTGCTGCTATTTTCTTGACTGCAGTTTCTTTTTTTTTCAATTTATTGTATTCTTAATTTTAATGGAGCTTACAAGTTAAATTCGTTGTTGGTTTTTGATTTTGTAGTTTGTACCGCAGGGGTTCCTTTCGTGGCTAGTATTTATTAAGCATAATGGGCTGGTTGAACAGCAACGTAAGCAAAGCCCATTTGTTGCATAGGAAAGGGGGAGGGGATGGTAGTGCTGTTGGTATTGGTGGTGAATTTTGGTTCATTATTGTTTGTTACTGATTTTGCTGTTCCATTCTGCAGCCATTGAATCAGTGGTTCATAAATTTGAACCGGAAAACTTTTCAGATTAATAGGTGTGTAAAGGCGGAAAAGTATTTGATGACATTAATTGTTGTTGAAAGATAAGATTTTTTTTTCTGTTTTGTTTTAGCACTGTTATTTTTTTATTTTATTTTTTTTTTCTTTTGATAAATGCTAGTGATTTTAGGAAATACTGGCTTTTTAGGCTGGAAACTGTTCGTAGTTCTATGTCTTTTTTTTCTGATGCGTGGTTTCTCGTTAAAATTTGTTCATAAGGTGACGTAGGGTGTTCTAACAACGTACAATGTGTTTTTTGTCTGTTTCTTTTGTACAAACTATACGCAATTTTTTTTTCACTTATATCTTTTGTTTTTTAGAAAACGCCGATTGTATTTTGTTGTGCAACAGGAGTAGACTTTGTTACTTTTTATTCTTATTATTATTTTTTCTGTTTGTTATACCTATCAAACATCTAACGTCATTCGTCATTGTTTTCTAATCGTATAATATATTGGCATAGGATTCAAGAGACCAGAATTTTTACTCCTTTTTTTTCTTTTAATTTAACCGTTCATTTCGATTGTTTCCTCTAACATTACGGTTGCGCATAGTCAAAGAAGCAGAAGTTTCAATGTTCAGCGGATAGTTTTTGAAAAATTAGGAGTGAACTAAAGCAGTTTTTTGTTATCGTATATAAGGCACCTATTCGTCCCATTATCGGTACACAGTTACTCAGATATTACGCATTATTCATTTTTTTTTAACATTCAGTTTCATTTTTTGTTCTTATACCTAAATAAATAGCGGTCTTGATATGTGAATATTGTTCTGGTTATTAGTTGCACTGAAGCTATTTCAGTTCCTCATTCAATTTATTTTGTTCTGTTTCTGAAGCTTTTTTTTTTTTGTATTTTTTGGAATGCAGTGATGGTGACTGGATGATTACCTTTTTTAACGATTGATAGTGGTCGGTTTGGCACAGCGGTTTGCACGTTTTTATGCGTTTAAGGAGTTGTTTTTGTTTTAATGATTTTATGTTGCTGTTAAGAAATGATGAAGTTAGTTGAAAAGGAAGAGAAGATTGATAAAATGAAATAATTTTTATTTTTTTTTTTTTGGGGGGGGGGGGGAAGGGAATTGAAGGCACTTTTACAAGGAATCGAAAAGAGGACAGCTGAATTTGAGACAGCTGATTATGATGTAATTTGCATTGTTGTGTTTTTATTACATAATTTCTGAACTTGGACTTTTTTTTTTTCTTTTTCTGGCGGGTTAGATTCTTTGTCTGTACATTTTTCTTTTTTTTCGCATTGATTTATTAATGTATCTGATGCAGTTTGACGGGTGGCAACCGTTTTTTGGAGGGGAGTTCGTTATAAAGCTGTGTGTTCATTTGTGTATGTTTATGTGGTTTCGGGATGCTTTGGTGTTTGCATTTAGAAGTGGCCAACAATGATTTTTCACTATAGATCCGTAAATTTTGCTCTGAGAGGTGCCAAATTTTTTGTCCTTAGAAGTAACTTCTGTGAGACATGTTGAGTAGTCTGTATGTTGCTGAACAGATCGAAACCATTGACTGGCGTTACACTTCTGGTGTAATTGTTGGTGTCATTTTGGATATAATATTTTTCAACAGAAGATCATCTGTAATTATTTTGTTAGCGCCTTTGAAGTTTTATTTTTGATGTAGAAATCGATGAAGAATTAAGTCAATTGTAAGGTATTTTAATTTAGAACAACAACGTAGAGGGAGGAATAATGTTCATTTGGTTGTTGTTGTTCTAGTTCTGAATTTGAAATTTTGGTTCCTGTAGTTCATTGGTTTGCGTTCTTTTCACTTCAGAATTGATACCAAAGATTTAGCTGAGGATTATGCTGTTTTTCATTTGCCTTTGGTTTTCTGGTTCTTTTATGTTTTTATTCTTCTACTTCTTTTTCGTCATTAAAGGATTTGTCTCTAATTTTCCTTTGACGTCTGTATTTGTCATTTACACTATTAAATTAACACCACTTTTTATAAGTACAGTTTTTTATAGTCAAATTTTTAATTTTTTTCTAAAATGTGTTCTGTCATCGTAGAGAATTGATGGGATTTTATTTATTAAGTCCAATTTGTGGATAGTAGTGAACTCGCTCATTGCAATTTTTGTTTTAACCGCAATGATTAAGTTGTTACAGAGGATTGTACGTTACGTTTTATGGCGTTCTTTTTTCGCCTTGCAGCGTGAATAATTTCCCGCCCTCTTCACCCACCCCTTTACCTTTCCCAGAAGAGACAAAAAAACGCATTTTTCTTGGTGTTTCATCGATGATTTGTCTCGAGATCTACTACAGATAATCATAATGTTATAAAGTGCGTTAAGATGTCTATCGAGAGGGATCAAAATGCTGTAGAAAGGGAGAAGGTGGACGAGAGTCGTTGTCAGAACGAAAACCCTCCTGGTGTTGGAGCAGGGAATCCGGCGACAAAGTCACAAAAAAAGAAACGTCGAGAGAATTTGTTGGATCTGTTTAGCGAGCACACTGACATTGGAAACTGGGCTGATGCTGCGTCTGAAAGTTTTCCTCTGGTGCAGGTCTGATTGCGTTTCTCTTTTGATCTCTTTCCCTGCACTGATTTGACTTTTTAATTAGTTTTGAAAGATCATCTGAAGTTTTTTTGAGAAGAAGTTAGTGAAAGTTTATCCTACAGGTTGAAGGTTCTATTTTACTTCTTAAGTTTTATTTTTTTTAGCCACGTTAACCCGTTGTTAATACTTGTAGTTTTTGAAAAATTTTCCTGTTGCGAGTGATATACCAGACCGTTTCAGAAAACTGATTCTATTAATGCAAAGCCGAATGCTGAACAGATAACTGAGAGGCCAACTGCAGATCTCCATGCATTACATGGAGACGCTGCCTTTCATGGCGGAGCTGCTTCCCATTCTCATGCGAATGAGGAACAGTCTTTGCAGCTGTATGTGAGCAATATCCCATTTGCTGCCCGTGAAGAGGATTTATTTTACCTTTTTGGAGGAGAGGAAGCGGTAAGTTCTAGAAGAGAAGTTTGCCAGTGTTTTAAAAGTTACAGTTTATATATATAGATATAGATAGTAAATACAGCAGGAAGGTTTATAGACATTGTGATGTGCAGGATCTTAATGACGAAAATTTTTAAGATTTCACAGATACAACTGGATCAAGGAGCAAAACCGGAGTGGAACGGTGGCACGGCTGTCATTACGTTTCAAACTTTAGAGGCCTATTCTCGCGCCCGCGAACTAGATAACAAGGTAATTTTTGAATTTTGATTTCTTGTCATTCTATTCTTGTATCTAATCGTATGTTCTTTTAGCTTTTTTCTGGTCGTACACTGAAAGTTAGACAGCATCCGCGACAACTGCTTCCTTACCGTGAAAATCGCGTTTACAATGACCGTCAATACAATAGTGCTGACAGTTATAATTATCGTCCTAATATGGGGTCCGGAAATCACCACTATTATGATGAGGGCACATATCCGCGAGTCCCACGAAAAAATGCCAGTTATGCTGGTGTTTCATCTAGCTTTGTTCAGAATGATAGTCATGCAGGTGATTCATTAGTCCACCGTTTGAGTTTGATGGGCAGGTTAGACTGGAATGATCAAATATTTAGAGTATGTATTGTAGATTTCCGGAGGATGCAGCATAATACGGCTTCGTTCAGGCATGGTCATCCGATACAAGGTACTCGCCCGAATTATAGAGTAAGCCCTTATGTTGTCATTTGTTAGTACAGTGAGTTCTTAGTGTTATTTTCTCTTTCTAGATATCTGTCGTATAATGGACCTTAGGTAGCAAAGGGAACTATTTTTCTTGCGTTTTATTGTTTTTAAAGAGATTTATTGAAATTAGTGCGCTGTTCATGTCCTTTATACGGAGGTGAAAAAACCCTGCTTCATAAAACCTGTCTTTTATTTTCCTCTGATATGTAGTCCCATCGAATTATTGAAAAGTCACCGTGTTTTCGTTGCAATTTTTTGTCTATTTAATTTTAGTGCGACAAAAATCACAGTTATTATAGTTTCAGGGCCGTAATAGTTACGGTGGTGGTCCCTTAATAAAATCTCCCTCAGAAGATGGTGGCATGCGAGGATATGATTCTGGTTTTAGGTAATTTATTTTTATTTTTTGGAACGTATCTGTGTAATTTTTATAATTTTTATTTTGCTTTATGGAACTTGGTAAAATTTAAGAAATACTCGTAAAAATAGTTACGCTAATGATGGACAGAGGCCAACATTATCTGCACAGCAGCTTCCACCCGAACCACCTCATCGTCGTAAACTAGAGTTGGCTCCAAGGACTATTCCTTTGGGAGAGTCGAAAATTGAACCTCCAAGGTCATCTAGCATTTTTGGAGAAGCGAAGCCGGTTGACACTTCGCAGAAAGAGCGTGAGGTTGGTTTAATGGCTTCTGGCGTATATTTTACTATTTTTGACAGCTGGCAAACTAATACTTATTTTTTACTAATACAATACTAATACAAAACTGAGCATTTACGCTTTGACACGTTTAGACATTGCTTAGTTTCTTAGGCGATGGTACTGCAGATGGGTCCTTGTGAGACAAAGGCTTGATGAAATTGCCGTCTGCAAAAGT